TCTCAAAACAGTAGCTATTTACCAGCATACTTATGTATTTTGATGTCTTAACAACCTGTAAGGCCATTCCAGGGCCTTCTTTCAAACACATACCCTATATATATATGCAAAATTAGAGAGAAAGAAGATACCAGTATGCAAGAAGCGGACTAAAATTTCCAGCACTTAAAAGACAGCACTAAGGACAGAATTATGAGAGCCTTAAATGGAAATTATCTGCGAGGGAAAATCTTTCAGTTAATAAGACCTGTTATCACAATGATACCTTTTATGTTGAAGATGCAGACAGAGAACACTTTGAAAAGCAGGGCAGAGCCCTTAAGACTAGGAGTGATTCTGCCCTGGAAGTTTGCAGAGCTGAAGATAGAGGGATAGAGTAAGGATTCTGCTATGGCCCAGAGTTCTCGGGAACACAGAGAATACATTGGATACCATCTAACTGACCTGCATATCCCTCATTGCCAATGGGTTCACACAAGGTTGTGCTATCAATATTTAACCACAGTCTACAGGATGATGCCATTTCTGGTTTGGGTTTTTCCCCCATTGTTCTAAGTAAAGATATGTGAGTGAATTAATTCAATGCTGCCAAACCTTCTCTAACCTTTTTAAAAGACATATTGATCAATGGTTATTTAAAGATAGAGCTTTTAATAGCCAAAACCTCTTACAAAAATTTATATTTCCTTGTAAGCAATCCACCACACCATTTGTTTTAAAGATGTTTAAGGAAGTGGCTCCACTGAATTCCTGTGAAATAACCACAGATGAATAGAAAAAAGAAAATTAATGACCAACAGCCTCGCTTTTCAAAGCCACATAAATGAAACGTGACTAACAAGAAGTGGGTTAGATGGTTTCATAAACTGCATTCCGATTTGAAATAACTTCACATTTGCATGAGGCACTCAAGCAGGTGAGTAGAGGGATCTCCATGATTCAGTAGAGCATGTGAGCATTCCGTTCTTCATAAACATATATCTGAGATGGAACACAATTTTACTATAGAACCACTCCATGAACAAAATTTTGCCTGACAGTAGGAAGGTTATAATGCATTAAATTCCATTTTATTGGAAAAATCTTTCTCCTTGCTATTCAATGCACTTGGTTTATAAATTCTTTAGTATTAATATTTTTCTAGAGGGAGTATTGAACTCAATTCATAAGTGTCATTACTTTTCCTCAATTAAAAATATAAAATCTCATAGCTACCTGATGTGTATATGGATATGAATATTAGTACAGTACCTTTAGAAAGCTGTGGGTGTGGGTGTGTGTATTTGTACATATTGCAGGTGAAGTTGTTAGAGGATGACTCGAAATGACTACAAGGGAAAGTTGAGAAATCAAAAAATAATTCTAGGATAGGTTTAATGTGCTTTTATTTCTTTTCTATTTATAATTTTATTCTCCCATTTCAGTGAATTGTAAGATGGTTCAATTATATCTCTCAAAGTGATTTTCTTTTTTTTTAAGATTTTATTTATTTATTTGAGAGGTAGAGTTACAGAGAGAGGGAGAGACAGAGAGAAAGATCTTCCATTCACTGGTTCACTCCCCAAATGGCTACAATGGCCAGAGCTAAGCTGATCCAGAACCAGGAGCCAGGAGCTTCTTCCAAGTTTCCCATGTGGGTGTGAAAGAGGCGGCTGTGAGCCACCATAAAAATAGCCTCTTAAAAATAAAATAATAAGACTCCTGAGACAAACTGTTCCAGAGACGGCCTTGGAAAATGGGGAGTAAACCGGTTCACAGAGAAAGCAGTCAGCTACTGACCAGAGATACGCAGAACACCTGCCTTGTAGATAAGCCCCCTTCCCTACGCTTGCTCAAGGTTAACTAAGAAAGTTACAAGGCATGTAGCAACCTACTCCTGTCTCCTAGAAACCCCCTCCCCTAATGTATCCCTTTGACCTAGTACTTTTCCACCGACATTAGCACTTCAGACTGCCATACAAGGCCCGCTACTGAAAATTATCCAATGAACTTATGCCAGTCTTTAATATGTTAATTCTGTGGTTTTGCCTTTTAAAAGCTGTAGAAGATAGCTGCTCCTCTCACTTGCTTGCTGCTTGCAGCAGTAGGGGGCCCATTTGCGCAAATGAAATAAAAAATTTAACTCCTGCTCTATTGCATCGTCTGGTCTGGAGTCTGTGTTTCTGGGGTCGTCACAAGAGGACACCACTTTTGGGGTCCTACAGGTGCAGGGACCCAAGGACTTGTGCCATCTTCCACTGCTTTCCCAGGCCATAGAAGAGACCTGGATCAGAAGAAGAGCAGCCAGGAAATCAACTGGCACCCACATGGGACGCCAGCACTGCATGGGGAGGCTTAGCCTGCTATACCACAGTGCCAGCTCCTGGAAGTAATTTTCTATGAATAGGGAAGAAAACAGAGAAGCCTAAAAACTAATTTCAAGAGCAGAAAAAAAAAATTTTTTTGACAGGTAGAGTTATAGACGTGAGAGAGAGAGACAGAGAAAGGTCTTCCTTCCATTGGTTCTCCCCCAAAATGGCCGCTACGGCCGGCGCTGCACCGATCCAAAGTCAGGAGCCAGGTGCTTCTTCCTGGTCTCCCATGCGGGTGCAGGGACCCAAACACTTGGGCCATCCTCCACTGCCCTCTCAGGCCACAGCAGAGAGCTGGACTGAAAGAGGAGCAACCAGGACTAGAACCCGGTACCCATAAAGATGCCGGTATCGCAGGCAGAGGATTAGCCAAGTGAGCCACGGTGCTGGCCCCCAAAAAAATGGTTTTTGAAACAGAACACAGAAAATTACAATCTGTTGATGATTCTGGACAGAATACAGAGGAAAGCTGAATGTTGTAGGCAATTTGAAGATCAGCACATTAGCAGCCAGTGAAGTGAGACTGGACTATTGCACTAGAGAGCTACATGGAAGCTGGATGCTCAGGTGAAGGGCACGCATACCAAGACATGAAGAATCTGACTCCTTCCATATATAACTCCTAAATTCTTGTGCAATAAAAGGTGTTGATGGGCCGGCGCCACGGCTCACTTGGCTAATCCTCCACCTGCGGCGCCGGCATCCCGGGTTCTAGTCCCGGTTGGGTCGCCGGATTCTGTCCCAGCTGCCCCTCTTCCAGGCCAGCTCTCTGCTATGGCTCGGAAAGGCAGTGGAGGATGGCCCAAGTGCTTGGGCCCTGCACCCGCATGGGAGACCAGGAGGAAGCACCTGGCTCCTGGCTTTGGATTGGTGCAGCGCGCCAGCCGTAGCAGTCATTTGGGGGTGAACCAATGGAAAAGGAAGGCCTTTCTGTCTCTCTCTCTAACTGCCTGTCCAAAAAAAAAAAAAAAAAGATGTTGATGAACCTAGACTCTGGAATCTGGATGTCTGGGAGTCAAATTCAGCTGAAAAAGTTAGTTAAGTCTCCTCATACATAAAATGCAGGCGTACACCTTCCGGATAGGTTAACGCCGGCGAGACCTCGGAGACACCAGACGCGTTTATCGGCTTTTCAGCTTTCACTTTATTTTTCAGCAGACTCGCGTTACATGTCGCGAACGCCCGCCCTGTTACTGGCATTCATTCACAACTCCTTCATTCACCACTCCCGCTTACTACTGGCGTTCATTCATAACTCCCGCCTGTTTCCGGCGTTCATTCACAACTCCGCCTGTTACCGGCGTTCATTCATTACTCCGTCTTTTACCAGCGTTCATTCATTCCTCCGTCTTTTACCAGCATTCATTCACTCCCCCCGCCCACCGTCCACCTATTTATATATATAATCATTCACGGAAAACATGTTACCAACTAAGTGTGGGAAACATGCAATAACAGGATGCTTAAAGTCAAAACAGGATCTTGCAATTAGCAACGGGCAGGGTGGAAAAAGCCCAGCACTAAACTTCTTGTCGGGAGCGGCACAGCTGGCCAGGCTGTCCCGTTCCCCGACAATAAAATGAGATTTACCAAAGGATCTACTTTATAGGATTTTTCTAAGGATTAAAGGAGAAAATATTTGAAAGTGCTTAGAGTATCCCAGCAAATATAATACCTCTAAAAGTTTTCATTAAATAATGAGGTAAAATAAAGATTCATGAGATGTATATGTAAATAGGGATCATCAATTAATTTCATGTGACTCATTCACATGAGTAACTTGGAAGATTCCATAAGCCACGTGTCTTCTTTTGTCTTGATTTCAATTCAGTGTTGGGGTTCAAAAGACTAAGGGTCACAACCTTCTGAAACCCCAAGACATTCCCTGCCCATGGCTCCAACAGTGGGGGCATACCTAAGCCTAACCTTCAACCTTTCAAGGGAAAAACAGGAATAGTTGAATATGTAATGTGATTAAATTAAAGTCCTGCCAGTACTTCCATATGCTTATTTTCAGAATGGTTTAATTAAAGTTTCTGACATCAAGAGAGCTATTTCTGTTCATCTATTCAGAGCTGGTTATGGAGAGAAAAAAAAACTGAAATGGACAGTTTCAGTCAATTTGCAACAATGTAGTTGTACAATTAAGCTGGAAGAGTGCAAAGAAAGTCTATATAATTTTTCCTCTTATAGAGGTATTCATTAGAGAACAAATTGAGATCCCAGATGGAATAATGTTCAGACAAACCAGTCAGAGGAGAACACAGTATTTTCAAATGTTCAATGTGGGCTCCATGTCCAAAATTTTAATAATGGTGCTATTTTATTAGCAATTCATTCTATAAAAAAAAGCTAGAAAATAGTCAGACTAAACTAATTGAAGCATTACATGTTAATTATCACTTATTACTGCTGATATTATGCTTAAGTGTTCCAATATATTATAAATGAATTATTTTAATAACTAAAATGACAGAAACTAAATAACTAGATGCAAAGGATTTAGATGCTCCAGTTAATTATCATATCCATACTGGGAAATGGATGCCATATATTAGGAAAAATGCCTAGGAGCCACTCAAGCTTTCAGAAACAAGCTGAAAGGAGTATGAATGTGAATTCTAAACAGTTTTTCTCTCCAGCCTCAAAGAAGCCTGTCAGGTCACAAAACTCCTGCCTGCCTCTCTCCCCACAATCTGGAGGCGGAGATGACTACAGAACTATTTATTCAGCCTGCAATGCACCAACTCCATTTGTCAGCCGGCTTGAGCAGGTGAACGATGGCAGGACGTGTCGGTCACCTAGAGGGTAGCAGCTGCTCCAAGTTCTGAAGAGCCCCAAGGAGGAAGGGCCGCCTCATGTTGTGTGCCAGGAAGCAGCATCTTGCTGTCCACATGGATCTGTACTCAGCCTCCACACACCTGGGCCAGGATGTTGGGCACCATCCATTATGCCAATGATCACACAAGTCTCCAGCTTCCTGGGGAGCTAAGGTGAGGAATGCTTAATTGCACTGCAAAATAGCTTTCGCAGGAACAGATGTAGCCTTTCACATTCTAGTGACTTTGGGGAGGGGGTAGAAAGAGGAAAGAGGAGAGGAAAAACCGAAAAGGAGAAAGAAGAGGGATGGGGGAGGAAAGATAGAAAATCCACTAGAATTTTGTCTCACTTGTTATCAGTCTATAATGAACACAGCTAGTGCCTAGATAATACAGAAATAGACTGCATGAAGAACACTGTTGTGTTTTGGGCAAATGTTCTTCACTGGAATGTAGTCCAGAAGGAGTAATAGCTCTTATTTTTATAGCTTAATTAAGATATAACTAATATTCTACAAGATGCACAATTTCATGAGGTTTCTTATATGTGCAAACCAAGAAACCATCAGTACAACCAAGGTAAGATCAGATCCATTGTCCCCAAAAGTGTTGCCAAGCCTCACTATAATCTCTCCTTCCCAGGAAAAGAGGGTATACTTCTGGTCACTAGAGATTAAGTTGCATTTTCTAGAATTTTATTCAAAAGGAACTGTATGTACTCTCTTTTGTCTGACTTTGAAGGTGACATATACAGTTATGTGCCACATAGTATTTCAGTCAATGTGTCCATCAACATACATGATAGAGTTTCTATAAGATAATATCACCTATTGATACTCTAGCCTTCTAGGTTTGAGTAAGTTTAGGATGTCCACACAGTGATGAAATCATGTGACTTTCTCAGTTCTCAGAGTGTGGCCCATTATTGAGTGATGCATGACTGTCATTTGTATATCAATCACTCACATGTCTCTTTCTTACCACATCTTATCCTCATCATCTTTTTCTTCAACTTGAAAAAGTTTTGAATCTAACATTGACCAGACAATACACAAGGTAAATAGTTTAGATCCATTCACACATATCAGAACTTTACACAGGCATGGTTTGATATCCTGTTAAGGCAGATACAAAATGTGCTCTATGTCCTAAACTATTTGAAGAGCCCTCCTGCTCACACAGGAATCAAAGGGGATGCCATGCTGTCACAGAAGAGGCATGGCTGGGATATATGCCATAGGTCCTGGAGACCACCCATTTAGCATACATTCCTGAAACTGTCTTGGGAAATTTTTACTTTCTCTTGACTTGCAACTTTTTATTTTAAAATACTCTGAATAATACACAAAAGTATAAAAAAAGAGTTCAGAAAATTCAAAGGATTCATCTTTTATCGTTTTTGCTATATTCACTTCATATATATGTTTTATATATATACACATATACGTACTATTTTGAAAGCAAAGGTGGATATACCAATATCACATAATGTGGAATTCATGACAAATATCATAAAATGGGAAAAGAATAGTTTACTGTTATGTAACATTTATAATTCAGTGAAGACAATATCTATATACCAGATAATATGCCAGCCACACTTTTACTACACACACACATACTTCCACATATCAGAGAAAACATGTGGTGTTTCATTTCATTTCATTCAGCACAGTGATCTCCAACTTCATACATCTTGTTGCAAATGTCAGAATACCATCACTTTTATGGCTGAGTAATATTCCATTGTGTATATATAGTTCATTTTCGATATACAGTCATCTGTTGATAGACATGTAGGTTGATTCCATATCTTTACTGTGAACAGTACTGCAATAAACATGGTAATACAGGGTTCTCCTTCATATGCTGACTTCATTTCCTTTGAATATATTCCCAGAAGTGGGATAGCTGAGTCATGTGATAGATCTATTTGGAAAATAGTATAGAGATTCCACAGTACTTTGGGAAAATTTGAAACATGATACTTTCCATTTTACCATTAGAGTTTCATTCCTTTGGGCTCTAAAACAGACCATTTAGTAAAAATGTACATAGATTTTGAGATTACTCTGCCTGAACTTATCAGAAAATCAGTTAAAACTGAATGAACCCATCATAAAAACACAACTGGGAAGAGAGGACAGGGGAGAGAAAAATGGGACTCTGATAAAGGAAATAAGAGTATCCCTGCCTATCCTAGTGCCGCAGCTGGCTTTAACAGCCATTACTGAAAGCGGTGCTCACATTCAAACCTTCCACCTGGGAGTGCTCTAGAGCTGGCTGGCCCAGGTGACTAGGCCTGTACTCTGACTCTCAGACCAAATTCCACTGGCTGTCAAAAAAAGTGTTTAAAGCGCCAAGTTCTTCCCTGGTAACAAGATCACATCTCTGAGCTGATTATAACTTTCTAGAAGGAAACTAACCCAACTCCCAAGAAGCTATTTATCATGCAACCTGATGTATGAGTCACAACAAATACTGTACCTGAATGGGGGAGTTGTCATGAAGTTCTGCAGACAAAGAAATTCTCGCCACCATCAGAACCAATGGACTAAAAATTGTCATTCTGACTCTTATCAAAGAAAAGTTACGATGTATCAAAATGACTTTACTCCCAAAGATGAATATCTATGCCAAAATAAGGCAGGTGGGGAAAAAAAGTCCATTTAGAGGAGATATGAGAGGACAGCTTTGCATCTTAGAAAGGAGAGCAACAGGATGGCCTTGGGCAAGGTGTGTTCCATCTCAGGTCATCAGTTTCTCTTTCTACAGTGTGACAGAGTCAAGCTACATACAGGGACCCTCCTTCCACCTCCCCTCTAATACCTAGCAAGGCACAAGAAGAGGCAGGAGAACAGAAAGAAAGAGAGGGTGATAGGTCAAGAATGAATCAGAATAACCAGTATGTATCTGTGGCTTCTTTTAGTTTTGGTAAAAATGCCTCAAGACCTAATCAAGCCCAAAGACAGAGGGCAGCCAGATTAGAAAGCCCAAATGAGGCAGCAATCCATAGCTGTCACAGACAAGCCATTCTGCCTCTGGGTCCCAGACTCCCAGCCATCCACCAAGAAATTTATGAAGACGCCGTCAAGAGCACAGCCACTTTTTAAACTAGCACCTCCACTCCAAACAGCAAAAAGATTCCATCTGATCATTCCCTTTGCAGTGAGGGGTTGTGACTGTAAACCTGCAGGCTACCTGGCATTGCTGCCATTTAGACTGCAAGGTCACAGTCCTACTAAATACATTCTGTAGTCCCAGTTACATTCTGTAGTCTCAGTGAAAACAAGACAAACCACAGGGGTCGGTTTGTAACAGAAGCACCTGTGATTGGAGCCCAGGGTCACATTCTCTCTGACAATCTGACACTTTCCTGCTGGCAGTTGAATAAAGCAATGTTTAATGGCTTTGGGGGATTTTTTCTTTGCTTTTATTCTTACTTTTAAGAAATAAAATTGACTCAGAAAAATTTTTTCAGAATGAAAAAAGATAAACATTGCTATCATGTGTAAGGAGGTGATAGGAGTGTATATTAACTGCTCTAACCAATTGTCCTCAATGTTCAGTGTGCATCAAAATCACTTGTAGGAAACTTTTCAAAACCATAGGCTTCTGGACCTCGCCTCCAGAACTTCTAGTTCGGTGTGAGTTGGGGGAAGCGGTGAGAGGGGCAAGAATCTCCATTCTGGTGCTGCTGGTCTGGGTACTACCACATCGAGAATGGGTGATTTAATTTCAATTCCCTTTTTAAGCTTAGATAAATCAGATTCTAGAACAACCAACAAGAGGAATCGTGAGCAGTTATGGTGTTCTTAACTGTGTGGCAGACATTAAATGGTAAATGACTTACTCAGATGAATCATTTCATCTAATCCTCACACCAGCCCTTTGAGATGCTGTTCAGTATTCGTATTTTTACAAATGTGGAAACTGAGGCTTAAGGAAAATAGCAGATGAGACTGACACATCCCATAAGATCTCTGAGGAAAGCAACAGAGCAAGTAACAAGTGGCTATGCTTGTGGGGTCTGAAAATCACAACTGAGCAAGTTGAAGATGAAAGAGACCATGGCAAATTATGATCCATGGGGAAAATGCTTGGATTTCATAGACAATGAACTCAGTAGATTCAACACCACAGTATGCCTCCCAAAAAGCTATCATACTTCAAATTGCATTCCAGTATCCAAGATAGGGTCTTAGAGTCTATTCATTCAGAGGCCAGAGAAGTGGCATTGTTGTTACTGCTGTTGCTGTTGCTAGTTCTGATAACATTGTCACCGTAACCAGATATCTCGATGATCCTTGATAAGGCCACTTCCATAAGAGCCCTCTTCAAGTTTTGGTTTTGCTTTACCTTTGCTTTTGTTTTAATTTCTTGCCTGTCACTATTGATGTATCTCAGAGCCTAGAGTTAAGTACATCTATTATAATAGGCAAATGCTAGTAACTTACCACAATAACAGTTTCTTTCCTGCTGGAGTAAAATCCAAACCAGTGATCAAGAAGAGCAGAGGGGCAAGCATTGCAGTGCAGTGAGTTAAGCTGCCACTTGGGACACCCGCATCTCACATCAGAATACCTAGGATGGAGTTCTGTCTCTGCCTTCTGATCAAGCTTCCTGATATTGCACCTAGGAAGCAGGATGATGGCTCAAGTACCTGAGTTCTTACCACCTACCTGGCAGACCCAGAAGGAATACCTGACTCCCAGCTTTATCATTCGTGTGCATTTGAGGAGTGAACCAGCAGATGGAGGTTAGTCTGTCTCTCTCTCTCTCTCTCTCTCTCCCTCTCTCTCTCTCTCTCTCTCACACACACACACACACCAATAAACAAAAACAAATAAATAAATACTTTTAAAAGGACAGTAGACATTCAAGGACGCAAGACCCGGATCCTTCCATCTAGTAACTCATCATCCACCAGGGACCCAGCAGTCCTCAAGCCGTCCCCTGTATCCATCCAGCAGACAGGAAAAAAGAGGGAATGGAAGATTGCTCATGGAAAGTTCTTAGGGGACCCACCTAGAATTTCTGAGCATCACTTCCATCTCCATTGTATTGACCAGAAATTATTGCATAGCTGAATTAATTACAAAAAAAGTAAGAAATGCAGTCTTTGTGCCCAGGAAGAAGCAGCAATGGAATCAGCGAGTGTCGAGCCAGTGTTTTCCATAGATGTCCTTCCAAATCATTTGTCATCTTTCTTCCTTCAGCAATTCTGACACACTTCAAGTTTCTACCACTTCTGACCACTCTTATAGGCCTCCCAGGAATTCCTCTCCATTTACCAATGGAGTTAGCAACTACTTTACTGTCTTTCTCTCTACTTCTATACCTGTCACCATTCTTGGTGACTTCAACATCTTGGCCTTTATGTTGTTTGACCTCTTCACCTCTAAGAAGCTTTTTTTCCCCATCTCACCACTACCCCCAACTCCACAGCAATAGTTGAACCACTTTCAAAAATTTCAAGTCTCTCACCACCATCATTTCTCCTTCTGGCACATCAAACTCTTATTCCCATTTCTAGGTCTCTTGACTTCATCAAAACCACCAATCTGTTGACCCCAACAACGTTTACCATCCTCCTCCCCCTTACAGCCTCACTCTTTTGCTTACCCAGCTGAAGATCTAAATAAAGACTCCTTTGAAAGCATCATGAATTAGCTGATTCCCATGCATTATACTCCACCCATCATAGTCATCTGCAGAAATTCTAAATCCATTCAACCTTACCAGCTACCTATCCCATTCTTGTGTTCAAGAAGCTGAATGATGTCCTTTACAAATATTCCAATTCTTCTTCTTCTATAAAAATGATTTAATTACATTTCCAGACCCATTTAAATTAGGCTAAGGCAGGAGCTGGCAAACTAAGTACCTTGCAACAATTTCAGCTAAGTCCTCTTAGGAAAATAAAAGTTTTATCGGAACACACTAGTCAGTTAACACATTGTCCTTGGCTGCTTTCATGCTACAGCAGTAGAGCTAAGCCGTGGAGTCAGGGGCTTTATGTCCCAGTAGGTATGAAGTATTTACTCTATGGCTCATGATAGAAAAACTTTTACTAACACCTCAGAATATCATACTCCTTGACGCCCGCATTTTAACAGCCATGAAAAGTGTCATGCATTTCGAGATACTTTTTATTAAACAATGGTAGGTTTTAAATATTTTATTAAAACTTACAATGCTGTTTGCCTGTAAAAATAACTGCTGCATTATTTAAATAATTGTGGCTCCTGATGCCACAATATATGACTGATATGGTCTGAATATTTGTGTTCCGCCAACATCCATGTGCTGAAAACCTAACCCTCAAAGCCATGGTGTTAGAAGGTAGGGCCTTTTGATGTAGTTACTCATATGAAGGCAGAGCACTCATGAGTGGGATTAATGCCCTTATAAAAGAAACCCCCAGAGCATTCCCTTGCCCTTACTGCCTGTAAATGTTACAGTGAGATCCTCACAAGACACACAATCTACCAACATCTTCACCTTAGTCTCCTCGACTTCCAGAATTGTGAGAAATAATTTTCCACTGTGGATTAGTCACCCAGTCTACAAAATTCTATTGAAATTCTAAAGAACAAAGACAATGACAGAGGAGCACTTATGCTAATTGCTAAAGATTTTTCTTGTAGTACTTTCAATCATGCAGTTGAAACTTTTAATAAGAGGGTGGGGCAGATATTACTGACTTGCTTTTAATTAAGAAGATTTTAATAAGAGAAAAGAAGTCAAGCAAGGAGTTTAAATGACAACAAATCAGCTGGAGTGAGAATAAAAGTTCAGTTGTTGCTCCTAACCAGTCAATGCTGGCTGTCTCATTCAGTTTTGCTCCCTTCAGGGAGAGGGTGCCTGACTTTTATGGAAATATTGATTCCTCTATCCTCTGTTACTCTCACTACCAACTCTGCACCAGAAAATGCACCCAGAAAATGGTCTTTGACCAGAGACCAGGCTACTGACTCCTATCACAATGACCAGGACCTAACAATGTGGTAAGTGGTGTAACCAAAACACTAGAGGGCAGATATTATAACATCCAGGTGTGCGGCATCATTTTTCTTTATGAGAAAGTAAAATGTAGCTGTCAAGGGGAAAAAAGTCATTGCCTTCTCTGAATAGAGCTATGAAAATGAAGGTTAACTGTTTTATCCACTTGCCTAGTTTCCCGAGTTGTCAACACACATTCTCATATACATTCCCCTATAAAGTAGGATGAAAACTGACCTTGTGGTGTATTTATGGCTTTTCTAGTAAAACTTCAACTAAAGACTTCTAATGGCTTTGAAAGTGGGCAATAGAACCGGGATTATGTGACTATGTTTACCAGGCACAGATCTCATGTTGGGAGATTTTTAAAAAGATGACCATGCATGACTTCCATAGAAGGTCATTTAGCCACTGCTAAATCTGGCTTCAGAGGCAGCCCGTCAAGCTCCCTGAACACCCGCCAGGCCTCCTACCTTTTGGAATGAACAGTGCTCACAGTCAACAGGGACTGCACCAGCCAGGTGTGCTACTCTGTCTCTTTCAGCTCACTGATCCAAATCCAGCATTCATGCACTTCCCATGCATCCGAGGCACTCCTGGGAGAGTCTCTGCCTGTGTAAATCAATAAGCAGATGATTCTTAACCCCCTGCCACGTTTCCATTATGGCAAATGCACAAGCTGAGCACAGCTCCCACACCGCCACAGATCTCTCACGCCATCTCCTTCCATTTTGCCCCTATATTCCTTCTCTGTGAAACCCCAACCCCTTTAACACCAACCTGCCCTTTTGATACAGAGGAGATATTACCCAGAAAACAGATTCCCCAAGGCTGTTCTAGATCATCCCTCCTGTGTGTCCCTAAAGCAGCTGGGAGTGGAACTACCACAAACTGAACTTGCCCCCCCACCCTCCTAAAATGTTATGTGTAGTAACCTAACACCAGTGTGATGGTATTTGGAAATAGAGTCTCTGGGATGTAATTAGGACATGAGGGTAGAGCCCACATAAAAGGTATTACTGCCCTTTTAAAAGAAGTCTCAAAGAGACCCCTCTCCCCATCCACTCTCAATATGAAATGATAGAGAGAAGTCAACCATTTATGAATGAGGAAGCTGGCCTTTATCAGATCTTGAATCTGCCAGCTCCCTATCTTGGACTTCCTAGCCCCCAGAACTGTGAGAAATAAATTTCTATTGTTCATTAGTTACACAATTATGGTATTTTGTTGTAGCGGTCTGAACAGGCTAATAAAGGAACTAAGTGTTCATTCTCTAGAACTCCCTATTGAAAATTGCAATAGATTTTCAGTAAGCTCTGACTTCAAACCAAAATCGGAACAGGCTAACAATATGAACACTGTACTTTAATTACCTTTTCTCTTGTCTGTGTCCTTCCTTCCAGGAGACCTTAAACTCCTTAATCCTAAGGACAGTGACTGTGTCTTATATGTAGCAGTACAAACACAAGCACCAACACTGAAGGAGCAACCCACACTGGTTGAATGAATACTGTTAGATTGCAGAGATTCTGGAACTTTCATTATCTTTATGCAATCACAGCCACAGGTCACAGATTACGTGACCAAAATGCAATACTAGACAATGTCAATTTTATCAAGATTGATGATCCAAGCCAAAAGTCCAATATACAGTAATACTTACAACTCAATGGCTACTAGCTACAGCAATTAAACTTAGAAATATTCCATCAAGATATATGTTGATAACTTTCCAGTACTTTTTGCAATTTAATGCAGGAAATAGCTGAAAACAGAACACTTCTGATAATACAGAGCTTGATTTTCAATAACCTGGAAACTGCTGTCTACCATCACGCTACTAGGCAGTTCTGTTATCTTCATGTGGAACCTATAAGGCCAGAGGCTTCAACACGTTCAGTGGCCAGGCCAGCTCACAACACAGCTCAGTAGCTGTACATGGAAACGAGAATTCCTACTGGTGGTATAAAAGGTTTCTGTGCTGAAAGCACAGTTTCTGACATGTTCTTTACAGGTAGTATAGCAAGGACACCAGCTTTGTCCTTGGAAATGTAGTTTGTCCAGGAGCACTGTTATAGCACTGAAATGGGTGTCAGCTTCACTAGCACACATCTTACAAATGGCCATATCTTACTAGTTAAGCCACAGGTTGAACATTAATAACAATGCATAAATGAGACCCAGAAGAGGACACACTAGCTACACTGTCCCTTATTAAAGGCAGAAGCACATTTATACTTTCCATGCATCCATTTGCTTCTTTTTTTATTAAGATTCCAAATCATAAGCACACTTTATAGTAAATTAAAAAAAAAGAAAATCAGGAAAAAAGAAATACTGCACACATTTTCACACCCTTTATACATTGCAGGAGTATGCTTCTGTCTGCCTCTTTTTATTATCGTTATTCCTGGGCTACTTTAATAAGAAAGGTTTCATTCTGATCTCATTCAAAAGCAACACTGCACCTTTTCTTTCCACATGTTTAATGACTAAGAGTTAGAAAACATGCCAGGGCTCTTTCAATAATCAGTGTGTTACTTGTTACTTCAAGTCATTAACAGATTCTTCAAATGAATCTAGGCATTTTTAATCCTCTTGACACATGTGGAAAATTATTATCTAGGACAAAATGTTACCTATTTTGTCATTAACAATAAGCATTTCTATAAAGCTGTAGGGAAAGATAATACTAGAATCAAGTATGTTCCTGGAAATATTTTTGAATCTTTGTAAGCATATGTTACATATATTATAGATAACACTCCTTCTGGGTCATGTCTCTGGTGATAAATTAGGGGCTTATTATGTACTCATATAAGTACATGCATTGAAGGCAGGCTAGGAAAATGAATCCTGTGAAACTTTTAATCAAATCTAGCACCAACCAGGGCTCCAAAGGTGAACTATTTCTCTCCAAGAAGAAAAGCAGTTCTGTTTGAATTAGTACCTCAATCTCAGAAAACACTGCAGAAGACTACATCATCAAAAAAATGTATATTAAGGCCTTTGCCAATTCAAAGGAAAAAATGGAAATAGGTGAGTGATTGCAGATTAAAAATATCCTGAAATCTTAATGTGGCAGTACACACATGCGTCATGATACCATAGCAACATTCTCTTTTTTAAAATGAAATTGATTAATTAGCCCATGTGCTTGCAAAATGTCAGAATAAAAGGATTGAGGATGCTTCTCTCCATCGTTAACGCCTTACCTGCCTCTTTCTTCCCGAGCTTGTCAATCGGAAACGCTAGAGGTCGATCTTTGGAAGAAATCTCAAAACTACAGCTCTATTTTAAATGCATGAGAATGTGGAAGCTTCGATAGCTTGCATTCCAAATCAGCTAGGAAGATTCAGAGATGAGAGTGTCTCGAATATATAAAGCTCAAACTAAATGCAACCTCATTTGACCAGGGTGAGGGTAGAAGGAGAGAACTGGGGAAGTTGTTTGGAAACTGAACCAGCTAGAAACCAATTTGTGTGTCAGTGTGTCTGTGTGTGTGTGTGTGTCTATGTGATAGTCCTGTCTCACACGCAAATGTAAAGACAAATAGATGGAAATCTATTAGCATGTATTTACATAAACTGCAAATTTCTAGGAGTCACCAGGGAGAGGCCAGAAATGAAAGCAGTGAGCTATGCTGTTTCTTCAAGGCAAGGAGGTCATATTCTTTTGTGAAATAGAGGCGAGACTAAGTCTACTCAGAGTAGATTTAGACAGACTGCTGGCTGCCTCCTTCTTCTTTTATATTGTTTTGATTTTCTTGAGAGCTAAACAGACAGACAGACAGAGACAGACACACACCCATCTGTTGGTTCACTTCCCCAAGATGTTCACAATAGTCAGGGCTAAGCCAGGGCCAAAGGCAGAAGCTGGGAACTCAAACCACGTTTCCCATGTGGATGGCAAGGACCCAACTACTTAAGCCATCACCACTGCTTCACAGGGTATGAATTGGTGGGAAGCTGGAGTCAGGAGCCAAAGCCATGAATTGACCCCAGGCACTCTGATGCGAGACAGGAGCACCTTAACCACTAAGTCAAATGTTTCTCCTGTCCTATGTTAGTCTCACAACCTGACCATGTGAAAGACCCACGCATAGTCCTTTCCACTGCATGGTGGTGAGAAAAGAAACACTCAACCTCAGCACTACTAGCATTTTGGCTCAGATAATTCTTTATTGTTTGAGACTGTTCTGTACACCTTAGGGTGTTTAGCAGCATCCCCGGCCTTTACCTGCCAGAGGAATGTAGCATTCCACAATTATTCAATCAATTATCTCTAAACATTGCCAAATGTCTCCAAGTGTTTTGGGGCGGTGGAGAGTATTACCCTTAATTAAGAACCACTGTATTAGAATAATCAGTAAGAAAAATGAGAGCAAAGGTGAACTATTTCTCTCCAGGAATAAAAGCAGTTCTTTCTGAATTAGTACCCTCTTGTGAAAAGACACACAGGTTCCCAAATAAGAACAAACATAGGCTGTTCATTCAGAGCTCCTAGTTTCAGCCTAGTTCAGGCCTGGTTGCTGTGCCATCTGAGGGGTGAACCAGTAGATGGAAGATCTCTCCTTGCTCTCTCTCTCTTTCTCTCTCTCTCTCTTTTTCTCTCTGTAACTCATTCAAATAAATCAATGAATCTTTTAAAAAAAAAAAAAGATGAAATTTGTCATTTGCAACAATATGAATAGAACTTGAAATCACTTTGTTAAGTGAAATAAACCAGCACAGAAAAACAAGTTTCACATAATCCCATTCATATGTGTAGACTAAAAAAATTGACCTCAGGGCCAGCGCTATGGTATAGTGGGTAAAGCTACTCCACTTCCCATCCAGCTTTCTGCTATGGTCTGGAAAAGCAGTAGAAGATGGCCCAAGTCCTTGGGCTCTTGCACTCACATGGGAAACCTGGAGGAAGCTCCTGGATCCTGGCTTCAGATCTGCACAGCTCCAGCCATTGCAGCCATTTAGGGATTGAACCAGTGGGTGGAAGACCTCTCTCTCTCTCTCTCTCTGTCTCTCAAATACATAAATAAATCTTTAAAAAAATAGTCAAAAGATGTGCCATTTTACAAAGAATGAAATTCATGGTAAATATATATGATGAAAAAACCATGCATATGTTTCAAACTTTTTTGCAACAAAATAATCTTTTCTTTTCATCATTTTTCCAAAAACTTTGTGACAAACCCTGTGTTCATTCTGTTTCTTTGGCAGATCCTGGCTAATGCAATGCATCTCCACCCAGTCCTCCAAGGATAAAAACAAACCCTGAGAAAAATAAGAAGAGTTCCCAATTCTCTCAGCTCTGCCTGATTCTCCAACCTCCTACTTCACCCACACTGAGCTTCTCACACCTTCTGCACTGGACACTTCCATGTCTCTCATGTTTCACCCATCTTGTTCCCTCCCCAGGAAAAGTCTAGCTCTTTGCTTGGCACTTCCATAACATTGTCTTATCCAAAAAACTGCCCTGACTTTCACAGGAAGTGAGCAGGGGGGGATGACATCTCTGTGACCTGCAACCTCTGGGAAAACTTCTCTGTAGCACCTTCATGGAATGATTTTGTATGTATGTATCTCTCCCGAGATCCTGAGGGTTTTAGGCACCAGGACATGATCTCTTAGAACAAAGCAGAGGGTCTGGAGTATTGGCGATCCCCTGTGAATGTTTGAGTGAACAAATGCTAACATTTAATGAAACATTATTCCAGCGAAGTACCTGGTGATAGCCTAAGGAACAGCTACCATCAGATAAATCTGTCCAGAAAAAGTCTCCTGAAGATATATTAATATTCAAGTGACTCTGAGAATAATCACCTTAATCTTCCATGAGAAAAAACATCCCTCAGGGGTATGGAAATATTATTAAATTCTCTTCCTATATCCCAAACCCATCGCTACACACCCCCTTCAACGTCATCCTGAGTAAGCCTCTGAAACCTGACCCAAAAGCTATGAAACGAACTGGACGTGTGTCAGCTTGGCAAAGGGGTCTGCTGCTCTCCTGCACACTCCACACATGCAGCCCCCAGTGCAACCTGCTTGGGTTGGGCAACAGAGGGAGAGAAGTGAAGTTCTTGCTACGGTTTCCATCTTTGTCCCCCCAAGCTCACACAGGAGTTTAGTCCCCTAAGCTTTATGTTAATAGTTCTAAGACAGTAGAAACTTAATCCAGTTATGGTGTTGACAGTCTTTGGGAGGTCATTTCTCTGGATTAGGTCACTCGAGGGGAGTCCCAGGATTGCTTGCTGGTGGCTTTCTACAAAGGGTTGGAGGCCACACGTAGACAGGCAGGTGTGCTCCCCCATTCTCGCCACATGATTCCCTGTGCTACAGTGGGACTCTGCCCTCACCCAAGGCCAAATCAGTGGGTCAGGGCCTGCCCAATCTTGGGCTGTGACCCTCCAGAAGCATGAGCCAAAATGAACTTTTCTTTATAAAGTAGCCTAGTTCAGGTATTTCACTGTAATAACTTAAAGTTGACTGTTACAGCTAAGTTATTATAGAAGGACTTCCTGAAAGACACTAAGAACTATCCCCAGCCTTTGTACTCCGGAGATATTATGATTCCACAAGTGTCGTGGAACACAGAGTAGGGGAGGTGGCACAATCAGGATTCATCTCGGGATTTTTAATTCAGGCCTCTAATGCAGCCATCTTTCAGGTTGGGAGTTTGGGATGGTTAATTCCATGTGTCAGCTGGGATGAGCCATGGAGTTCCCAGATATTGGTTGAACATTATTTCTGGGTATATTGTGAGGATGTTTTTGGATATGATTGAAATGAAGGCAGTGAAGCAGACTTCCCTTCCCAGTGCAGGGAGCGCTCATCCAGTCCACTGAAGATCTAAACAGAATGAAAAGCTAAATAGGAAAGAATTAACCTTCTGCCAAATTGTCTTCAAGCTAGGACATTGATCTTAGGCCTTCAGAATTGGAATTGCATTAGACTATACCCTTGGCTGTCCTAAATCTCCAGCTTCTGACCACAGATCTTAGGACTTCTCAGCCTTCATGATCGTATGAGCAAATTCCTTAAATACACACACACACACAGAGTACTTCAAAACGTGCATGGAAAATAGAATCAAGAAATAAGTTTATGTTGGTGCAAAAAATTTTGAAGTCCATGCATACCCTTTTCATATTATGCATTTTCTATGAACTATTAACTGTTTTTTTTTTTTTTTTTGACAGGCAGTTAGACAGTGAGAGAAAGAGAAAATTCTTCCTTCCATTTGGTTCACCCCCCCAAATGGCCGCCATGGCCGGCGTGCTACGCCGATCCAAAGACAGGAACCAGGTGCTTCCTCCTGGTGTCTCATGCGGGTACAGGGCCCAAGGACTTGGGTCATCCTCCACTGCCTTCCTGGGCCACAGCAGAGAGCTGGACTGGAAGAGGAGCAACTGGGACAGAACTGGCACCCCAACCAGGACTAGAACCCGGGGTGCCGGCGCCACAAGTGGAGGATTAGCCTAGTGAGCCGTGGTGCCAGCCTACTATTAACTGTTTTTAAAGATTTACTTATTTATTTATTTAAAAGTCACAGCAACAGAGAGAGAGGGAGAAACATTGAGAAAGAGGGAGGGAGGGAGGGAGGGAGGAAGAGAGGGAGAGAGGGAGAGAGGGAAAGAGGGAGAGAGAAATTTTCCACCTGCTAGTCACTCCCCAAATGGCCCCAACAGTCAGGTTTGGATTTGGGCCTTGTTTTACTGCTATCCCAGGCCACCACAGAGAGCTGGATCAGAAGTGGAGCAGCCGGGACTTGAACCAGCGCCCATATGGGATGCTGTACTGCATGTGGCAGCTTTCCTGCTACGCCACAGTGCCGGGCCACATGCATGGATTAAAAAAAAATCTTTTTTTTCAACTTTTATTTAATAAATAAAAATTTCCAAAGTACAACTTTTGAATTATAGTGGCTTTTCCCCTCATAACCTCTCTCCCACCCGCAACCATCCCATCTCCCACTCTCCCTCCCATCCCATTCTTCATCAAGATTCATTTTCAATTATCTTTATATACATAAGATTAACTTAGTATTACTAAGTGAAGATTTCAACAGACTGCACCCACACAGACACACAAAGAATAAAGTAATATTTGAGTAGTAGTTTTACTGTTAATTTTCACAGTATAACACATTAAGGACAGAGGTTCTACATGGGGAGCAGGTGCACAGTGACTCCCGTTGTTGATTTAACAATTGACACTCTTATTTATGACGTCAGTAATCACCCGAGGCTCTTGTCATGAGCTACCAGGGCTATGGAAGCCTCTTGAGTTCACCAACTCCCGTCTTGTTTAGACAAGGCTATAGTCAAAGTGGAAGTTCTCTCCTCCCTTCAGAGAAAGTACCTCCTTCTTTGATGGCCCGTTCTTTCTGCTAGGATCTCACTCACAGAGCTCTTTCATTTAGGTCATTTAAAAAAAAATTCTTAAGATTGATTGATTGACTTTTATTTGGAAGAGTTACAGATAAAGATATAGACAGAAAGAGAGAAAGAGAGATATTCCATCTGCTGGTTCACTCCCTAGGTGGCCACAGTGGCCTGGCCTGGGTCAGGCCAAAGCCAAGAGCCAAGAGCTTCATCCTGGTCTCCCATTTGGGTGGCAGGAGCCCAAACACTTGAGCCATTGCCCACTGCTTTTCCCAAGCCATTATCAGGGAGCTGGATTAGAAGTGGAGCAACCAGGACCCAAACTGGCCCCCATATGTGATGCCAACATTGCAGGCAGTAGCTTTACCACTAGGCCACAACACTGGTCCCAGATTTCAAAAATTTTTACAACAAACTTCTCTTTCAATTCTGTTTTCCATGAACATCTTGAAATACGTATCTCCTAATAATACTGCTTCTCTAGAGAACCTCCACTAATACAACAGGGCAGATAATTATTCAGAGTATAGTTAGCACTGGTTTTCATAGAGTATTTTATAATATAAAGTATTAAAAAATGAATGCACTAGAATAGAATAGACCAAAGTGCACAGCACATAGAAAGGCTTGAGTATTTTTTAGTGAAACTTCAGTGTTCCACACCCATAGAATGGGGGTCTTCAAAGGGTTGATAGACATGCACATTTTGAGAGAACTATACAGGAATATCAAAAGTGTTTTATACCAAATCACACTTATGTTTTAGTTCCATAGTTCTATGCCCTTTTTGAAGTATCTTCATATGTATAATGATTTAGAGTAATTTTCTTAATATAGTTCAAGGTCAATACAATTTGAACAATACCACTCAAAGTGATGTTGGAGTGGCCCTACACATGTCTCCTGGACAGCCTCTTATCTCCTCAGCTGGGAGCAATTCCATATTCCATCTAAAATGCTTGATTACTTGGCACAGTACAACTAGTACAACTGGTACTTGGCACATGTGGCTGTGGTGACCCTCTGACTTCGCGTATGTCCTAACTTCTTAGTTGGACTCTAGATTGCCTGTGGGCTAAGACAAGATTTCATTCTGCTTCACAACTTCTTTCAAGCTTGCCCCAGTTCTGGCACAAATATAGGTTCTTAATAAATATCTATTAGGGGCTAACATTGTGCTATAGTGGGTAAAGCCTCCACCTGCAACACCAGCATCCCATATGGGTCCCAGTGCATGTCCTGGCTGTTCTGCTTCCAATCCAGCTCCCTGTTGAAGGCCCAGGAAAAGCAGCACAAGACCTAAGTATTTGGGTCCCTACTACCTACATGGGAGACCCAGAGAAGTGCCTGGCTTCAACCTTGCCTGGCCTCAGCAATTGTGCCCATTTGAAGAGTGAACCAGTAGATGGAAGACCTCTCTCTCTCTCTCTCTCTCTCTCACTCACTTTCAAATAGATAAAATAAATCTTTAAGATAAATAAATAGCATCAGAAAGTTGGCTGGATCTTTCAAAGTATCATAGAGGAAAAATAAATGAATGGCCCTTAAGAACAACTGAAACATGGAAAGACAAGATTCCGTGACCAAAAAAATATCCTACACGGAGGATCTCTGTGAGACCTCAGAGGAAAGAAAGGGTCATCAAAGAAGGAGACACTCTTCTCTGAAGGGAGAAGAGAACATCCACTTTGCTTATGGCCGTGTCCAAATACCAATGGAGTCTATGGTCACAAAAGGCTTCCATAGCCTTGGCAGCTCATGGCAAGAGCCTCAGATGATCACTGATGTCATAAAAAAAGAGTGTTAATTGTTAAAGGAACAACAGTAGTTACTATGCACTTGCTCCCCAGATAGGACCTCTGTCCCTATTGCATTGTAATATGAGAATCGACTGCAAATTCTCTCCCCAAACTGTACTCTATATGTTGTTGTGGGCATGGGTGCAAATTGTTGAAGTCTATGATTAGTATAAAGTTGGTCCTCTGTATATAAAGTGATACTAAAAATGAACCATAATGAAGAAGGAGGTGGGAGAGGGAATGGGAGGTGAGATGGGAGCTGGGTGTGGGGGTATGGGGGAAAGAACCACTATATTCCTAAAGTTGTATCTATGTAAAAATGCATTCATTAAATAAAAATTTAAAAAATGAACAACTGAAATGCCAGATGTCCCTTTGAAAATGATGATGGAATAGCAGTGCAAATAAGTGCCTTATGCCACCACTATCAAGAGGCAAGAGACAACGGACCCATGACACTGCATCAACAAAATAAGCAGAAACCAAAACAACCTGTTTTCACTCTGCTTGGAAATCTATGCTTCTCCCCCAGTATCAAAATTGAGTTAGAAATTGCATTGGGTGCTATCAGCTCCTATTTATTATCAACATTGCACGGCAGCAAGCATTAATAATACATCTTATATTTATAAAGCTTATTTATAAAGCTTTTGTTTTTCCAGCTTTCCCTGAGACTGAGCCTTCAAGAGCTGAGAATGTCTGTGGGATCTGGCCTTTGTTGGTAAGAGAAGAATTTCAAAGACAGAGGGGAAGAATTAAAATATAAATCTATTTAAATATTTAACACCCACATGCAATTGTTCAATGATGCTACTATTTTATGATATATTTGACATGAGGCATTATAATAAAATCACAAACAACCACCACACACAAAACAAGAAGAATCACCAAAATAAGTTCTTAGTAGGACAGGGCTTCCCACTTCAATGTATAATTTATACTGTCTATAAAGCTAACTCTTGGGAACTGCTAATTTAATTAGTTTGTGTTGAACAGTTAATTGTAGTAAGCCAAGTTTTCAGACTAGTTTGACAGTTGCTTTCATTACATCTAAATAATCTCTGGCATTTAGTTCTCTTTCCCACTGTATTGGTCAGCTCAGGCTGCCATAACAAAATACCAAGGCTGTATGGATTAAAAAATAGAGAGTATTTTTTCACAGTCCTAGAAATTAGAAAACCCAAGCTCAAGCTTGCACCAGGAATCAGTTTCTGGCGAAGGCCATCTACCTAGCTTAGAGATGGTCACCTTCTCAGTACATCCTCTGTAAATACAAACCAAAGGGCGGCTATGTGAGGATGTACTGGTGGCTTTTCTCATAAGGCTGTCAGTCCACCAATCTTATCAAATGAGCCCCTGCCCTTACAACCTCATTTAAATTTAAACGTTTCCCTAGATACCCTGTCTCCAGAAACAGTCACATTCAGGGGTCAAGACTTCAATATAAATATATTCAATATAAATCTAGGGGAACAGAAATATTCAGTGCATAACACATATCTGTGGGGACTGTAAAAAAGTTCATTTCATTTTGTTTGGTCTAAGGAATCAGTTCTGCCAGATGTTATGTTGATGATACACTCCCTTAATCCTCCCTGATTCCAACAATTTATGTGACAATAGGAGGAAGTGCCCTGCTTAAACCCCTCCATCTATGCACTGGTCTCATGATCCTCCCAAAAAACAACCAGAAGGGCCCAGCCTCTCCAGGACAGTTTTTCCTAACAGCCGCAGCCTTCATAGAGGCATTCATTCAGGTATCCACCACCATTTGACTCGCATTTACTAAGTCACTTATGCCAGGGACCGTGCAAGGCATCAGAGTTACAGGGACAAACAAGATTTGGTCATTGCCCCAAAGGAGTTCCAAGCATAGTGAAAGACACAGAAGAAAACCAACATTAAGAATTCAGGACAGGCTCAGAATTAACATTTTTAGGCCACAGCTGAGGGTACAGATAGGGGCCTGCACATCATATATTTTTAATATCTAAACTATACA